TCTAGCCCTCTTGTTTACTATTTTCTATAATTTTCTTTTTAGAGATTTATGTAAAATTAGCCAATACTTACTTTATTATTGTTGTTTACCCACCTTGTCTATTTCATATATAAAATGTAAAACAAAGGTATAAAAAGATTATTTATTTATTTACAACCAAAATAGATATATTTACCAGGAAAATAAGAATTGATTACATTAAAATAAAATCACTGACCTATTTATTGTTGTTTTTTTAGCTCAGCTGAGCACAACGTGCTCAAGGGTGAGTTTCTGTGATCACTGCGTTTATCGTGCATTAGTGCCGCTTTGCTGTACTTCAAAAATGTGGTAAAAACTCTTAAAACAACAACTCCTCATACACACCAATAGGCCAATATTATTTAAACTAAGCAGGAATGTTCTTGCATGTAACCAATTTGTTCAAAAGAATTCCATTCATTCCATGCTTAAATTCTGATTGCCATGGCAACCGAAAGAAAAACGAAAAAGCTAAAGCTATGATATTTGGCATGAAACATCTTCTAGTAGATGTCTACCAAGTTTGTTCAAATATAATCCCTCTAGAGGTTCAAAATTGGCCCTGTCCCAGGGGGGTCATTGGTTTTGTATGTAGTAAAACTAAAAAATCTTCTTGCAAAAATCCAAAGGCCCTAGAGCTTAGATATTTGGCATGGAACATCTTCTAGTGAATGTCTACCAAGTTTGTTCAAACAAAAGCCAGGGTAAAAATTGACCCTGCCCCAGAGGTCATTGATTTTTGTTATTTGTATCAGATACTAGGTAAATCGTGAAGAACCTTGTTTGCTTTAATTTTGAAAAGGGCTGTAATTGATCGGACAATTTAACATTGAAATAGCCTATAAGTAGTATGAAGTTCCTTCCCGTTACGCTATTTTCCCTGTTAAACGAAGGCAATATTGACCAGAGACTTTAGAAGCTTTTCGTTAGTTTCCGTAATTTATTACTATTTACTAATTGATATACTGCAGTAGCGTATTTTAATACACCTGTTAAAATCGATTAATTCTTGTGAGTGATACAGCTTTAATTTGAATCAAGTTGACCTCTGGTTATATCAGCTTATCTCGTGGGTTTTAAATTTTTAGACTTCTGATTGGATTAATTCAAATTTGTGTCATTGAATTTGATAAGATGTTTAACTACCTATATATAGGTTGTTTTGCTCTTGCTCGCAATTCTGTTACTTATTTTGTAGTTGTGAACACGTTTCAAGTCTTTTTTGCCCACCCACCCTAGCCCATATGGGTTAGCAATAAGTTTTATTGCATTTAGTTATATTAGTACTGCGTCTTGGTAATTTAAATATTTATAATGATTAGTAATTCTTTGTTGATTGATTAATATATCATTCTATAGTTTATTAGTGTTGACCAATTTTGCAGTTATCTAGTTATAATTCGTGAATATTCAGATTCTCAGGTCAATATTGCCAAACAAGATGTTTTAAGATGCAATATAACTAGTTCAAACGGAAGGAGGAGCAGCATGTTATTACAGTAATCGAATAAATACCAAAAGAAAGCGAAACGACATTTATTAGACGCCGCGTACACGCGGCGTGTAGTAGATATACATTTGTCCATACAGCAATGGGGAAAATTTTAGACTTTTGTGTATGTTTTGTTTTGTTTTAACAAAATCACATTGTTTTCAAATTTGCTAATAAAATAGCCTTTTTGATGTACAACATGTCACATTAGAATAAACGTTTATCTGAAGTGTTAGTGCCATGTTTGAATATCATGATCTAATTTCATCTACATTATAAATAACATGCCAATGAACCAGTCTATAGTCGATCACGACTGATGCAGTGTCACTCACTTCATTTGCTCCGCCTCTGTTGAAGTTCGGCTCCACCTTAAATTTTCGCCACATTTATTATGATGCTGCGTATGCTAGCATTGAATCTGGAAGGGAACAAAGACAACTTTGATCAATCAATATCATTCGATCATTATGCAATTCGTACCAATATTATTCTCGGCACATATTGTCTTAAATTTATTTTAAGTATACTAATCATTTCAATTTTACTTGTTATCCAATTTATTTTGCTTCGACCAGACGTTTCAGTCTTTGTCGCAACAGACAAACATTTCAGAATTCCAGACATGGCATTACTTTGTGAATTTATGCATTAGGTTCAACTTTTTCACAAAAATAAGCAACTTAATAAGTCATTTAACAACTATACCAAGAACATTCAGAATCAAAGCACAGAAGGCGCTGAATTTGTTTGGGTCTCATAATGTCAGAAAGGTGAAGGTTGTGAGATTATAAAACAATTTGTTTTTGTATAGTGCCACCAATGCTTTCCAGCGTTTTAATTTTAGTAGATTGGCTATAAGACTAATTGCAACACTGATATTCGATCCAATGTTTATTTGACTTAAACAATTTGAAAAAAAAATGAGTTGCCTTAACTGGGATTTGAACTCCAGACCTCTCACTTCCTAAGCGAGCGTGCAAACCCCTCGGCCGCGTTGAATTTACATGTTAATGGTCTGAAGATAACCATATTATTCTAGTTAGGGTTTGTAACGACGCTAACTGTTGTTTAACACTTGTGTAAATAACCATGGCGCTTACTATAAGCATGTATATCTATAAATAATAAAGCAATATTAGAAATCTTCGACCATTCGGGAATTATTTTGCTTGAAAATTAATCCGCCTGTCATGTGACCATATTTACGCAGTGATCTCCCCTAAATTGTTCGGCCTAAGTCTTACATATAAAGGGAAGTAACCGCTTCAAAAAGCGGACTACTTTCGGCACTTGCAATTAACAGCATTAGAGTCTGAAATTTCGCTACCATTATTTGTTTGGTCTGACGCCCCAAACAAATAAAAACTGATTTGTGCTTCGGATATTCAACTGTTAACATATTTGCAATTTTGTTACTAAACTTTGCTCCATTTAACGACACAAATATTTTATTTTCTGTCGTCTGCTACTACATTTAGTTACTAAGTCTTGTTTACCTCTACTTCGTTTGTCTATGCGTGAAATAAGTCACGACTCAGTTTCATCACACAAAGTCTCCCTTCTCTTAAGAAGAAAGAATGCGGAAGATAAAGAGTTTATGTACAGTATCTGTCCAATTTCAAATGTTTTTTTGTCTTAAATAGGACACACTAAAATATAAAACTAAAATTGGGTTGAATTTCGAAGTAAGATGAGCATTTATTATATTGTCATGGAAATGCCACAGTAACATTTGCGGTGCGCTTGCTTGCATATAATGGCATTATAACGACTGGCGTGTGCGTTGGTGCGCTCTTGTAAGGACCAGCAACTGAGGACATTTGTCAGGAATAACAGCAACGAGTGAGGACATGACCGACAATTGAGCCCATTCTCAATTGACAAAAATATTTTATACTCTAAAAATGCTTAGTTTTTGCTAAAACATGTAAAAAAATGGTAATCGAGTTATGTCCTCGATTGGGTGTGTCGGGGTTGTGCGTCGACCTAAAAAAAATAGCCATTTTTGAACTTCCCACTCGGCGAATTATTGTGTCCTCAATTGTTGGTCAGATATGACGAAACTGGAATACTGCATTTCTATTGGTTGAAATTAATGCCAAAAAATGAGAAATATTATTTAAGCTGTTAATTAGTAGATGTAGACCCTTTAAGAAATATTTAAAATCCACTATGAATTTATAAACAGGTAAAATTTGTAAAGGTTATCTGCTTACTTACCGGAAGTCATTAAAGGAAATTTGGAATCGGACATTTTTACTGCGTGGTACAGTACAGGAATGCGGAAGCAGAAAAAGGTAAAAGAATCTAAATTTTGATGCTATATTACTTCTCATAATTCATTGCAGCTTAATAGGCTTTACAGTTGTACTATTTGTTTTTCTATACTGTTTAGTCCTAAAGTTTAGACAGCCTCAATTGATCATAGTACATGTACAGAAATCAACTCGTACCCAAACCATTTCGTTTTATCATGCCTGTTGAAAGGACTGATTAAAAATTCTTTAAATAAGAAAAAAATATTAAATCTAATAAAATTGAAATAAAAAACAACAAGAATTGTGAATGTTACCGCAGGGGATAGGTAAATTTTTAATTGTCACTTATTTTCGCGATGCCGCTTTTTATTAAATAAAAATTGGAAGCTATGTTTTGTTAAAATGTGTGTATAAAACACTAAAAATGAGTTGATGAATGAAAACTACTGAAGGTATTGTTTACACAATTTGAACGAAGATATCTGCCAGTATGTGTTAGTTAGTCAGGGCTTTTTTTCCTTCTATAGCAGGGGCCGGTATAGGGCTGCTTCCCCAAAGAAAAATTCTTTAAAATCATGCAGTTTTCCCCAAAAATTGAATTTACATCAAGTTTTTTCTTCCCCTTTTGCAAATATACCGTGTATTTTTTCCCCAAAATTAAGGGCTGGGCTGCTTTCCCAACCTGTGAAAAAAAAGCCCTGTTAGTTCTACATAAAATAGATCTATATATATATAAGGAATATTTTCTATTAGGGGTTTATTTTTTTAGTTCTACATAAAAATGATATAAGCTAGGAATATTTCTAAGAGGTATATGTAGTAGAGTGAATAAGGAAGAAAAAACCCAGCTTAATGGTCTGTTGATGTAGGGTTTAAGAAATTATATTTCAAATCTTTCTTGTACAGTACACAGGTTTCCAATTTTGGTACATGAATTACCATTTTCCTTAAGCCTGTTCAATATTCAAACTCTGACACCCCCTCCCCTTTCCCACTCTACTCTGCTTATTCATCATATATTAAACTGCATAAGGTCTCAACCCGGTACGGAATTAGACCCAGCCCGTTGTAGTCTAGAAAGTAGTTCTTTTAAATTTTGAAATGGCCTATTTCAAGTCATCTTAATTGATACTGGTTATATTTTAAGTATATCTTTAGTAATTGTGTACATAAAGTTTCATTTCTTAGTACTTTAAAGGTTGTTTTTGATGTATTTTTGCAGGATTTCATGTCTGGGTGGAAGGTTTCAGGAAGTACTATGCACAAGAATACACACCAGTTACTATTTGGAATATTCTTATAGTGATTACAGAAATTAAAAGCTGCAGAAAAACTCCAAGGGCTAATGTATTATTTTTTTGTGCTAAATTTACTTGGACTGCATTGGTGTTTAAAGAAATGGTCATGATATTTCGGTACCGGATTTGCTTTGTCCAGAATTTAGCCTTAAATGTGATGGATTTACTATAGGATATATATTACGAAAATTCAGTGGGCCGTCTCCTAAATATAAGAAATGAGAAAATGGGAAGTGGTTGATGGATATGGATGAAACTTTGCATCAGTCTTGTGTTTATGAATAGAAGTCAGGAAAATAAATGATAACTGACAGGTTTGACAATTTTAAATTTTATTTCAAAATTTAAATTTTGACATTTTAAATTGGGACATATGTTGTTATTGTTATCTCCCCTTCAAATGTAGATGTCTGCTACTGTGTCAGTAAGCAGGGAGAAGGGTACAGAGCTTTTGCATGAAAGATTAACCACCTTTTATTAAATTAAAACTGTAAAAATGAATTTAAAATTAAAAAATGAAATTTAAATTTTGTAAAAAGCAGTTTATTAATTGATAAATCTTATTTTTGCACCCTGTGTTTAGCAATATACTATAAATCTAGCTTATTTTTATAAGATTTATATAAAAAATGATAAATTTTAGAGAAATGCATCTTAAATTATGGATAAACTATGCATTGCAAAGGAATTGGGGAGTGTGTGGTTTCAGATTGGTTACATTGGTAAAAAAGTGAATGACAAGCTCATTCCCAGAGATCTTAGGGGCCCAAGAAGCACCGGCCATTGGGATTTCGAACAAGCACCATAGAAGCCTATTGCTCATATGGACCACACATTATATGTTTTGATGTTTTAGCAAAGGATTGATGCTGTAGTAATCAGTATGTAAATATTCACTATTGTCTTGTATTTCAATGAAGCAGAACTGACAATTGAACAGGACAAATGTGATTTATATTTTGGAATATAGGCATTTTTCAGTGTACATGTAGTGAAACTTGGTGTTTTGCTGTGTTGCAGAATGTATTTGCTATTTATATATACACATTTTCTAGTTATTAAACAGTGTACTTTATGGATAATTGGCTCATTTAGAATAACACAGCTGATATGATTGTTGTTGTTGTTGTTGTAGCTGCTACAGCAGTTAAATTAGGTTAGGTTTACAATGTCTAAACTGCTATTTTCATACAGGCATGCATTTTTCAGCACACAATATTTATATATGTTCTCCAGTGTGAATTAGCAAATCTAGCCATTGATTAATTAAGACATTATTTTCTTTCTTTTTCAGACATCAGAATTACAGCATAAATGCCTCTGCTCTTATAATTTTCTTAGGCATGTACTAGTGTTGCATACTTTTTCAGACTGTGCATTTACCAAAGCCTGGGTTTGAGTACAGGACCTTACCTTATCCTGGTAAAGATCTATGGAAGGACTCCTTCAGCTCAGTTTGGCAGCAGCTTTGTCAGGACACATTGAGATGGTAATTACTTATGTCTAGTTTGAAACTTCAGCTATTGACAGTAGCGACTCCCAATGCTCGGGCAATATTTGGTAGTTATTTTGAATGTACTGTGAAATCATCATTTATTCGTGGGGCACGAATTTTCGTGGTCATTCGTGGATAGGTCAATCCACGAATTTAAGACCCGACGAAATTTATCCCAACAAAATGTCTCTGTTCCATATATCTCAACATGCGTCGGCGCTTTTCCGGCCGATATTTGTGGTATGAATGTATATTCTAATCAGGTCAGTGACAAATTAAATCCATAAATAGTTTAATTTTGCAATATTTAAGACACTTGAAAAGAAAAATCGATTGTATGTCTTCAGTTTGCTGTCACAAATGTTCGTCGCATGTAAACATCAGGGGACTACTTGATCGTTGTAGGCTACTTGATTGTGTTAGCCAGAATACGTGACATAATCGAGTAAATATGGGAACCAAGTGCATTAATTATCCCCGATAAAACTTTTAACGACTAGTGTTTATATGATCCATTTAAATATATTTTTTTCAATATGTTTTTGTGTGACTGCTATTCCGAAAAATATCAAAGAAGCCGTCGTCTTTACACTAGATGCACACATACATGTATGTAACTGTATTGAGCCATTTACTGGTATTAATTTATATGCATATAAATTTACACAGTCGATGTGATGTAGTGTGTAGTTTTGGACTAATTCGGGGTGTTAACTTTTTTACTGGCTGGTTAAAAATTGGCAGATGTCGTATAATTTATGCGATGTTTACATTGGCGAATTATAGGGGCATATAATGGAGCTGCATATCATGTCACACAAAGGTGTTAATTGCAGTCAATTATCGGCAGTAATTGTGTTACTGCCAGAGGCCAGGATTAAATTTATTGACAAGAGCTGTGTTATATACACGGGGTAAGTAAAACAGCGCGGTGATTAAGTGAAAGATTACTTTCCATTACTTATTTTTTTTTTACAAGAAAATGAAAATCCACGAATTTAAGAACCCACGAAAATGCCTGTTTTGGTAAAACCACGAAATTTCATGCCCACGAATACAAATGATTTCACAGTATATCAGGAGAAAATTTCTCTAATTCTGACTATATTAAGACTTCTCAATGATTCAAAGTGGGAGACGGTATGTGTCATCTTTTTTAAGCCTTATTTGTGTGAGAGTTGGCTAATCTTACTTTGTCAGAAGACATAGCCCATGGTGATATGGTAACCTCTTTGCTAACCTTAAGATTACCTCTGTTTGTCTTTATTGATATCTTAAGCAAACAATGTATTGTGTGTATGTTGGTTCTTTACTTTATTTACCATGGTATATAGGTAAAAATCATAATCAGTAAGTTTTATTACAATATTGAAGGAAAGAGTTATGAAAAAAGCACATTTAATTGTGATTTCTTGTATTTTAACCCAAAATTTCATGCTCTCATTTAAAGAAATGGAGTTTCTATTACAATTTTTAAGCAATAAGGTCTTATTCTTTCATAAAAATAACTGTATGACATTAGCCGGTAACATATAACTTTATTCGAAGAAAATCCATTCACAGAATCAAAAGATATGACAGACTTTGTAATATAAATTTTTGCGTAAAATTCTATTGGCCGAGCCTGAATTTTTGCATGAAGGTTCATATTTAAGAAATTGTACTGCGTTAATATAATTTGTTAGAGACATGTCAAACCTATATGATTGTACTTGTATAACACTAAATTACTAGGAAATGAGTATAAAGTTTGGCTTAACTTAAATTTTGGATTCATTTAGGTCTCAACCCGGTACGGAATTAGACCCAGCCCGTTGTAGTCTAGAAAGAAGTTCTTTTAAATTTTGAAATGGCCTATTTCAAGTCATCTTAATTGATACTGGTTATATTTTAAGTATATCTTTAGTAATTGTGTACATAAAGTTTCATTTCTGAGTACTTTAAAGGTTGTTTTTGATGTATTTTTGCAGGATTTCATTTCTGGGTGGAAGGTTTCAGGAAGTACTATGCACAAGAATACACACCAGTTACTATTTGGAATATTCTTATAGTGATTACAGAAATTAAAAGCTGCAGAAAAACTCCAAGGGCTAATGTATTATTTTTTTTGTGCTAAATTTACTTGGACTGCATTGGTGTTTAAAGAAATGGTCTTGATATTTCGGTACCGGATTTGCTTTGTCCAGAATTTAGCCTTAAATGTGATGGATTTACTATAGGATATATATTACGAAAATTCAGTGGGCCGTCTCCATAAATGCAGCAAAGACCGGGAATTTAAGGTACGGGAATTAGTCTGTCCGGAAAAGGGGAGGTAAATAAAAAAAATGTAAACAGAAGTATATTTTTACAGAATCGGTGTGTATAGGTTGTATAAGATATATAGCTACTGTGCAGGAGTAACTGTGAATTTAAGTGCAGCTGTACAAAGGTTGATGGAGGATTATTCGATGGAGGATTATTGTTACTCTCTGTTTACTACACAGAGGTTCTGTTTACTACACAGAGGTTTGCCTACATATGCGGTGAAGATTAACAACAACAACAATGGCGGTCTGAGCACAGAATAATATTTCTGCCTCTTGAAAGTTGATGAGTTTTCGATTTACAAGTGTTTGGAAGGCCATTAAGTTTGACTAAATCAGATTTAACATTTACTTTCTGGT